TCAGCTCTACCCCCTTTCCACAGATCAAACCAAGTCCTAGCAACATTCTCCATCTGATATGCAGCTAGCTCAACTCTCACAATATCAGTAACATGCATCACATCGAACACCTTTTTCAGTTCCTCAATGAAGTTCTCTGGATCCTCTGCAGTGTTTGAACCAGTGAAACTTGGATGATTCATCCTCAAGAACTCACGAATCCTTAAAGTGTCAGCCTCTTCTTGTCGAGCTCCTCTCTACTGCCCAGCTTGGTTGGTCACAACTTGACTGAGCATCCTTATAACCTCTCTGAACTCAGCATTGGTGACTTCTCCTTGAGGTTGCACTTCAGGTGCATTGGGTAGTTTTTGTTCCTCAACATTCCTCCTAGCTGGACAACCTCTGACTGCTCTTCGTAGAGGTATGATTATCTGAAACACGTGAAAGAACGAATTAGAGGGAAACTTTTTAGAGATAAACTCTAATGCACGAAATGAGTGTGAAAGAAGTGAAAGAATTCCTAAATGTTGCAGCCTCCTAATTATAGATATGGTGCACTTCACATCGATAACTAGGACTCTACAGACACGGCTTAATAGACTCCCTAGGACTCTTGAACTCTGTCCTCTAATACCAAGTTTGTCACGCCCCGAGCCTACACCCTGGACGTGGCCGGCACTCGAAAACCATTAAAGGCCCTAAGCGAACCCTTGGCCTGGCTTACTTAACTCAGCAGAAGACTTAAACTCAACAAAAATAAGTTCATATAATAAACTGGAATGTTATAAAGGAACATTCAACTGGCCATTAAGGTAAACTAAAGTCTCAACATGGAATAATGACAATGAAAAGACTAAACAACTAACATCTTACTGTCTATGAAGCCTCTAATAACAACTGAGATGGATGTTGAGACAAACCCCACAACATCCTAATGAACTAACCTAGAAAACAATGAAATGGATCCTCCGGAATGCAAGGAGGCTCACCGACTGACTTTGAACTGCTCACTGGATCAATGGTGCGCTGGAATGCCGATCCTAGTTACCTGTGTCTGCATCATAAGACGATGCAGGCCAACTGACATCAGTACATTGAATGTAGGAGTATGCGAGTTGGAATGCTAAAACAACATAGGCTGGAAAGAGAATCTGAAAGAAACACTTACCTTGTCTCTTCTCAACTCATGAATACTTAACTGAACTCATTTCAATATAAAGTAGTTTAAAACAAGTGCAATATAAAGAAAAGCTGTTTAAAAACATGATGTCAACTCTATGTATGTACAAGGATACAACATAACTCTGAAATGTATGTAAAAATACAATGAACTGATGTATATGAAAATACAATAACTTTTGTGGGAGTTTCTCTAACCGACGACAACCATCACATAAGAGCTATAGTGATGATACAACAATCTACCTCACGCTGCCAACGCATCCTATATCCGGCCAAAAGTATAGGACCTGAACTGCCTAATGGATCCACTAGTCTATTTCGAAAAGGATTTATCTAAAAAGTATGACCTTTTTCTATCCATGGTGGCAACATGGTTTTATGGTGACGTAAGTTAACTGAACTCATGCTCGTCCCCAATTCGGTGCTCAATACTACTCCCAAAATATACTAGCTCTTATGTTTTAAAAAAACATACTTCTCCTGTGATTTGAGATTAGTGCTCAAAATTTAGCTCAAAGGCTATCTTGGAAATCTCAGTTTTCCCTGCTTGCTTCATTTAGAAAGCTATTACTCTTTTATGAAAATTAGCCCGAAGTCCCTTTGGAAATCTCAGTTTCCGCTCTTATTTAAATGTGTAAAACATTTTAAATCTCTTTGGGAAATACTTAGTCCCCATATGTTTCTTTAAAGAAAAGAACTTCAACATTACTCTTTACTGAACTCAAAACTTAAGTCTTAAAACAAAGTTATAACGTTTGTAAAAGAGTTATGAAAGCTTGAAATGAACTTCTCTTACTTGACTCTTGACTTCTCTTGACTTTGATCTTTACTGATCCTTGAATTGAATTATGGATTCAAGGATTAAGATTTGTGATTTAGAAAGATCTCATGTTGTTTAGCAATGATTTTGGATAGCTAAACATGAGAAAAGACCGAAACTCAAGATTTGAAGGTGGATCCGCGACGCGGAGGCATAATTAAATTTTGGTTTCGAAAACATCTTTTGAGGCAGAACACCTCGTGTCAGCTCCGTGACGCGAAGCTGAAATGTTCAAATCTGGGCACTTAGCGTACGACGCGTGGCCATCCCTTTATTTCATCCGACGATATTTCTTCTTCGTTTTCCAACCCCAAATCACCCAAACTCGGTTTTTTTTCTAGATTACTTTTAGATACAGATACCCAATAAATGTACCTAAGAATCTAACTCGAAACGACCCTGTAATGCGACGTAACGAACTCAAAAACTTCCCATCTCAATCAAATTCAAGAACAATATATGCATTCAAGAATATATATCAAGATCATCAATATTCAAATGTTTTTAGGACGAATCCAAACTGAAATTAATATGCTTGGCACGTGGGACAACGATCCCAATGTTATGAGAGCCTCACATACCTGATAGATGCAAATTCTTGGCGAAACACCAACTTCCTTGATCGATCTTGATGAATTTGCCCTTTTCTCCTTGTTCTTTTCTCTTCTCCTTTCTCCTTAGGCCTAGCGTGAAATCCCAAATTCTAAAACTGATTAAGATCTAATTTGACCCATATTAAACCCCTAAAAATGGATTAAAATAATAGGGCAGTGAAAAGACTAAAATACCCCTTAAAATTCCGGATTGGACATAGCCTTAATCCAACAACCCAACTTCCAAAAGGCATAACTCACTCATACGAACTCAGAATCACGCAAACTTGATGGAGTTGGAAAGATAATTCCAAGGGCTTTCCAACCATATCTGGAATCACACCTAAATCATCCTGAGCTAGGAATTATAGCCGTTTGAATTTGACCAAAACCTCACTTTAACTTACTTAAAAATTTCCAGATTTCCTCATTCTTTCCAAAAGTAACTATTTTCAGATTTTAAACTTCCTTCTAGTTCTTTCTAGTTGTGAGATGTTACATTCACACCCCAATAACCTTAAAATTAACCAATAACAAGAAACAACCAAGAAATAAATTACTTCAAAAAGGAGTTAAATTTTGGGAGGTTTCAATCAGTGGGGCTTTGGCGGACATTTTTGATTATTGAGTGATCGATTGAAAATGGAAAGAAACTTATTTTTCTATTATCTCTACTTTTTAAGAAATCTCCAGGAAGAACATCGAAAAATAACAAAGAATGTATGCCCAAATCTAAAAAATCTGAAAAATATTTATAACTATAAGCCGCAACAAATAACAATGAAAGCTTAGTTTCCATAGTCAATCAATGGAAGAAACTGAAGCAACCTTCTTGTGGGTACATTTTGGAATGAAAGAATTCTTTCACTCCAGAATCAACTCCAGATTGCGGGCAATTTCCTTGGTGGTCATTGCTAAAAGTTTCTTCTTTACCATTTTGCAATGAAGAAGATAGAATTATTAGATAATTTTACTAATTGAGTAGGAATTTATTAGTGTAAAATATAATTAATAAAATAAAAGTCAAGTAATAAAGAAAAGAAAGTAAAAAAAATATAAAAAAATATAATTTCTAACATGGCGCTGACGTAGCGCTGATGTGGCAGCGAGTGTAATACATCACATACTATGAGAGTGGGTTGCACATATCAGGGTGGTATTAAATTCACTTTTAAGTAGTAAAGATGTGTAATAGGTCGTCACGATAGTTGAAGCGTGTAAGTGACTTTTCGAGATAAGTTTAGGGGGGAATCTATGACTTTTCGAGACAAGTTAGAATCATAATATCTAATTTAAGAAGTTGATAACTTGACATACCTTACTGATGTTTGTTGTAATAATTGAAAATATAAAAGAATTTGCATTTCACTTTGATCGACACTTTTCAACTATAGATTCATATTTTTTGATACTGTATTATAAAAACTTATCAAAGATTTGAAGAAAAATGGTGCAAAAGAAATTAAATAATAATAAAAAAAGTTAAATGATATGAGTGTTAACAAAGAAAATGTAAGACAAGAAAATAACTTTTCTTGATTCCTTACTTTTTATTACAATAATTAATTTCTTTAATAAAAAAATTCACATAATTTGTTCTTGATAAAAATTTGAGGCCCCTAATTTGCATATGCCTTAATTTTTATAAGCAAGAGTTGTCCCTGGACACCTATCGTAATGATAAACAACTCGTCTCGTCGTGATCTTCTTTTGAATTCTCAAAAAAACTTTTGTGATTGTATTTAATTGAATATTAATTTTAACAAACCAAAAAGACTTTAAGAAAAAACAAAAACAAATTTGATTGAGGTATAGATAAATAAATAAATCTTGAATTACGAAATAGATGAATTACCATGAGTGAAATGAGATGAAAGAATTTATCGAAGTTTAAATAAGAGTATGACGCTTTAGAATGTCAAGTCAAAATTCAAATAAAATATCTAAGCATTGAGACTGTCAAACCAAACATCAGATATGTCTTCAACCATCAAAGCAAATATCAAATAAAAATATCTTAAGTTTGGTTGTACCAGTTATATGCCAAATCTTGTAAATATTTTTTTGAACTTATATTTTGACAAGTGAAATATGTTAAGAACCAAAATAACTATTCAATCAGATATGTCTTCAACCATCAAAGCAAATATCAAATAAAAATATCTTAAGTTTGGTTGTACCAGTTATATGCCAAATCTTGTAAATATTTTTTTGAACTTATATTTTGACAAGTGAAATATGTTAAGAACCAAAATAACTATTCAATCAAATGAAATACATTAAAGATCAAAATAAAATATTATCCATACATTAAAGATCATTTTGGTCATTTACTTAAATTTGACTGCGCTTGTTAAATGTTTACAACTTGGGGACCAAAATTCATATATCACCTTTTATAAGTACTTCATTTCCATTTCCCGATATTTTGCGTTACGAGTTCCGACGAGCAACTCACCGGAAAACAACCATTAGGTTTAGCAGAGAAGAAGAGAAGGTTCTAGAAGGACAATAACGATGAGTCGTAGCTTGGGGATTCCGGTGAAGCTTCTACACGAAGCAACAGGGCACATAGTAACCGTGGAAATGAAGAGCGGTGAGCTTTACAGAGGAAGTATGGTGGAGTGCGAAGATAACTGGAATTGTCAGCTCGAAAGCATCACTTACACTGCCAAAGTAAGTTTTTTCTACTTTTTAGTTCATTGATTTGGTTTGCGCCGTATTCCTTAAAACCCTAAATCCTAAACCCTAAGTTTTCGTATCAAATTATACAAAAACAATCTAGAAACAAATGTAAAATTGTATTACTTTTTGCTTATTTGTAATCTCTTATGGCTAATCGCCTGAAAAATTGAGCACGATCTTTTGCTCTGCTTATGATTTGAAATTTCCATGTTAGAAGGAATGGAAGCGAGATACAAAAAATATGGCACCATGAAATATGAAGTTCTGGACAGTCTTCTAAGTAGGTTAATTGCTTATTTTTGGTGACAGTGGTTTCCGAGTCAATTTAGGTGCACCTCGACTATTCAAGCAGGTACCTGCTACCTCCAACCAACTAGGTACCAAATAACTTTGCCCACTAAGGCTTAGGAAGATGAGAATGAATTACCTAGAGTTTTTTGATTTCGTTTGCACTGGAACCAGAATCTTCATGGTTCTCTTACCACTTCATTGACTATTAGATACCTTTGGGTCCATCTTTGTGTGCTTCTTGTCCTTGAAGAAGTTAATGTTCGGTCCTTTAAATTGTTATGGTGCTCCAACTTCAACTCTTCAATGGTTGAGTAAATTTCAAGAATTTTTGGTGTGGAAGTTCATATGTAATGATGTAATGCAGCCAACTGTTGGCTAAATTTTTAAAGTGGAATTTATCTATCGCGTTCATTATCCATGCCTGCTTTTGTGCCACATTGTCATCCTAGATTCATAAGCTGAAAAGAAAAGGACTTATAGGTGGAGATCTAAAATATCTGTCTCAAGAAAGGTGTAACTTTCTCTGGATTTAACCTACTGATTTGAGTATAGACACATTCCTGGTAGACTGCTTGCCTAATTGAATAAGAGTTGGCAATATTATAAAGGGAATTGATGAGAGATTATGTCACACAAGGTGATTAATGGAAAATGGTCAACAATGATGCACATACTGATCCTGAGAAAATGGTGGGTTTTTTGAATCTCACCTTCGAGGAGTTTGACAAATATCGACATGATTTTCTATTAGATGGTGAACTAATTGTTTTAATTGCAAATCTGGTTATTACACCACTAAATTCTCATAAGATCGGTACTTTTTAAATTTCTGTAATCGTGCGCTTTACTTTAAAGAAGTGTGCATCATTCAACCCAGTGGAGTGTGAACTGTCCCCTTTTTTGTCCCCTTTCACTTTTCAAAACAATCACTGTTAATTTTAAAATATTAATTTTTGTGGGGCTGCAAAATCTGAAAGTAGTATCCCTATCAATATCAAACAATGATCATGTAATATGTCAAACATTAGTATGATCTCATATACAGAGAATGCGAATGCATGTGTGTGGTGTGGTCACTTACATTTACATGATTTAAATTGAAGCTTGCTCATCCATGTGTACGCAAAAGATAGAGAAAACTTTAGTAGTGTTTGTTTGGCAGGATATAAAATATAAAATATTGGGCTTTATGATATAAAATACCAGAACATGTGTCTAGTGCTAGTGGTAGAATTGCAAAGAGGAGGATATTTAGTGTTTGTAGTTTTTTTTTTTTTTATGACAAGGGAAACCCGCAGCCGTTATCCTTTGGGTGCGCACAAAGTAAAACCCCTGCTCCTATGCAATAGCTCGCAAACCACATAAGAGAGGTAACCCGCATTGGTCAAGCCCGGTGCGACGAGCTCGACCCAGAAGGCAAATCCCTTGCTTTTGCTGGCAAGGGGTTTCAAACTTGAGACCTCCAACATGAAAGTCCTAAGCCCAAACCACTGGGCCACCCCGAAGGGTAGTGTTTGTAGTTTCTTTGGTTTTGTGTCTCTTTTTTGTTTTTCTGTTGGTTTTGTGTCTCTTTTTTTTGTGTGTTTTCTCTAGTTTCCCTTATTTGATTCTCCATTTCTGTTTTAATGGGATTCTATTTACCTTATTTACAACAACAACATGCCTAGTGTAATGCTACAAGTGGGGTCTGGGAGGGTAGAGTGTACGCAAACCTTGTAGAGATTCTATTTCCAAAGACCATCGGCTCAAGGTAAATCATATAAAATATATTGAAAAAAATAATGGAAGTGAAGAATTCATGGCAAAAGAGTATAGAGAGCATGACAAAGCATTTTGAAAAAGGAACAATAACTACAACAAAATAGTGCGATAATCGAAGTACAAGAAACCCTATTTGCCTAATATATTAGAAGATATACAAGAATGAAGATACTACTAAGCCAAGTTTGTCCTGCACTACAATGCATGTCCTTGATAATTTGTCATTTCGTGAATGGAAACTGCATCAACATAGAAATTATTGTGTTCAAATGAACAAACCACACAAATCTCTCTGATCTTTTGCCCCAGTGTGCAATTTTTGGGAATATGTAACCCCACTCTGCTAGGCACATTAATGATGATGCCTGGCTTGCTGCTGGGTGCTTGGTGTTCAATGAATCGTGCACCTTCATAGCTACAATATTTGGTTCTTGTGTTGTTACTCATGGAAAAGGAAATGTATCGCGAATTCCTGCTTTTTATTTTCAATATTGGTGACACTAATTGCTAAAGTGGGTTAATGCAGGATGGAAGGGTGTCACAACTGGAACACGTTTTTATTCGAGGCAGCAAAGTCAGGTATGTGGTCCTCCTTTCCATAATTATGTGCTGCTTCTGGTAAGATTGTAGCTGAAATTTAGTTTCTGCCAGGTTCATGATAATTCCCGATATGCTTAAGAATGCTCCCATGTTCAAGCGGCTAGAATCCAGAATCAAGGTACACTTTAGTTGCACCTATATTCATTTATCTGTTTTAATGAAGTGCTTTGACCTATGTTTGATTTTATTTATTGAAGGGAAAAGGTACATCACTCGGTGTTGGACGGGGACGTGCAATGGCCATGCGAGCTAAAGTCAGTGCCGCTTCTAATTTTACGTGTATTTTCACTTGCCAACAATTTTGCTTTTTTCTAGCAAATAGACATGCCTGATTATGAACTTGTTTGCAGGCTCAGGCTGCAGGTCGTGGAGCAGCACCTGGTCGAGGTGTTGTGCCTCCTGTAAGAAGATAATCTCCCCGCATTGGTTGGTATCTGGTTTTTGAGTTCGTAAATTCATTGTAATAGTGCATGAGAAGCTTTGTATCACTGATCTTGTTCTTATAATCGAGAAATGTGCAATCTGAGAAACGCTCAATGTAGGATGTTGACTCTTTATTCCAGATATGACTAGATATAAGTATGTGATTTTCAGAATACAACATACAAGGATGTTTACCAGTCTTTCTTGCAATGTGTATTGGGGCAAGTTTCTCATTATGGCTCAGTATTTCATTGGGACTATGTGTAGCTTAGATATGTTTTTATTTTTGATAACTGTAGTGTTGAGGCCCACTTATGCGCACCTCGACTAATTTCACAGGATATCTGTCACCTCTACCAGCAACAAGTGGTACTAGGTATTTTCACCAAGGTTAGAATAGATGGGAAGAAATCATCTAGCCCGGTTTAGGGAAGGCATCTTCTTGTGGTTAGTTCGTATTGCAATTAATGGCTTGGTTTTACATCTTTCCATTAAATCTTTGCTGGGTGTTTTTTATTCCATGTTGTTGGTATCCAAGGGCTTTCGATGAATTTCACTAGAATGTTACAGTATTCCTTTTGTTAGGACTAACACCATGGCTTTGGTTCAATAGTAAGAGTATAATGCATGAGGTGTAAGTTAGGCGTACATGACGAGTTCAAACCCTATCAAGAACAACTGCTTGGCATTTAAGTAGAGTAAGGCCGAGGCTAGCCCTTTATCCATCAAGTTTCAAACCGTGACAGTTGGCCCTTAGGATTTCTCAATGATTAAAAAAACTTATAAGGAAGCAAGTATTCGGTGTTGGTTTTCAATATTTAGAAAATGTGGCCTTCTTGATGAGGGTAATTTTTGGGTTGATTTTTTTTTTTTTTTGTACATGTATTCTTACTTTTTGAATTTCCATGTTATAGAAGAGAAAACCCAACAACACCAAGTAACCACTAATAGATTCTTGAAGTACACCACCTAGGGTTGTAGTGTAGTAGTAATTGCTTCTTCATCCTTAATTAGAGGTTTTGGGTTTTGAGTCTCCTGGTGAGGAGTTGTCTTTGTTAGGGAGCATTTTATCTCTAATGTGGGACTTTTCAAGTTTACTTGTACACATTATAAGTTGGAGGATATAAATGTCAGCTAATTAAGCTTAAGTTAAAAGGCATGTTTATGTATTAGCAATAACATGATTGATTTATTATTTCTCATAATCAATCAACATGCAAAAGGAAGATCATATTTAGCTTTTCTATTATTTTTTTTAAAGAGAATTATTGAAAACATTCTTAAATTCGGTGTGAATTATTAGTTTCATCTCTAAATAATTGACAGCCTCAAAAAGACCCAGTTACTTGACTAACTGAACTTAAATACACTCTCAAATTCTCGTCAAGTTTAGGGGTGCTTTTAACACTTCTCTCATTTTTGTTATTAAGAGTTTCATGCTTCTATGAGAGTTTGAGACCACTTGCTATGACATGTGTCTGACAGATAGAGGTATGAGGAGTGTATTTAAGGTTGTCAATAATTCGGAGATAATAGTAATAATTTGTGCCAAATTAAGAGTGTTTCAAATATTTATCTCTTTTTTTTTTAAATTTTTTTTTCGGTATCATTACTCTGGAGAATTATTTTTTAAGAGCTAACAATAAAGTTTGGCTTGCAGACAAAAATGACAAATAGTAAAAGATAAAAATAAATAAGTTGTGTATAATTCAATAGTAGACACAATATTAATAATTGAACTTCCCCATGTTTGAATAATATTCTTTTCTCCCCTATCATATGCAATATTTATTTGATTTAATCGATGTCAAATATACATCACTTAGTTAAATCAATGTTTCGAACCAAATCATACAATTTAATTGAGGTCAAACATTTCTAGTAAACTAGTTTGAGGACTCGAAGTACAATAAAATAATAACTTACTATCTCTGTTCACTTTTAATTGTCATAGGTTCTCTTTTTAGAGTAAAATTATAAAAAATCTTGACTAACATTTTACGATGTATTTTTCATAATATTGATATGTCAAAAATTGTAATTTATAGTACTTTTTGTATAGTTTTTGAATATCTAAATTTTTTGTTTAAAATATCGAATTAATGTAATCTAATTTAACTTTGAAAATTAGTTAAATTAACTTTCGAAAAACGTAATATGCCAAATAAAAATGACGGGGAAGCAATTAATTATAAAAAGAATTCGAAATTTGAGAACCTCGAGAGTTCAAAGTTTTGAAGTTAGAAATCCCATCTATTATATGTATATAATGTATTCCTCAACTTTTGATTATAATTTAAAATTAATTGAAGCTCCATCTGGTTATAAAAACGTGTTCGGTACGGAGGAAAATATGTTTTTTGAAAAATTAAGTGAGTCTTACTTATTTTTGTGTTTCATACGTAAGTAAATCTTTTTATATATAAGGTGTGTTTAGTATGGAGAAAAACATTTTATATTCCAATTCTCATGTTTATTTGGTCAAAAAATTGAAAAACAATTTATTTTAAAAAACAAGCTCTTTAAAAATGAGGAAAATGTCTTCCTTAATATAAGTAGGGGAACGAGTTCCACAAGTGACATTTCACATTGATTGTGTCCTTGTCACCCTCCAACACACTTCATCTTCACCCCATCATCAAATCCCCTATCCCCATCACTCCTAACTCCCACTATCTCCTCTCACAGTATTTGACTAGATTATATACAATATGTTATGAATAATACTTTATACCAAACACAAGAAAATAAGCAAGAAACACACTTAATTTTCTTTGAGAACATTTTCAAGAAAACAATTTCTATGGAAAAACATTTCCCTCATACCATACACATTATATATTGTAGGAGGTGGGGACGGAGTAGGGGTGTGCATTCGATTTTTCGATTTGGATTTTTTGGTTTTGTAAAAGTGTAACCCAATTCGATCCAAAATAAATTTGGTTTGGTTTGATTTTCCTCTATTCGGTTCGACTTTTTTCAGTTTCCAGTTATGTCAATAATTAATAACATAACCAAAGTAATAGTATTGAGTCTCTTAAATATACTTTCTAATATAAATCATAAGTAAAACTTAAAACACAATACTTGTAAGTATACCTATTATAGATGTTCAAACATAAAATATAAACATGATCACATGAAAGACAAGGCCAAACCAAAAAACCAAACAAAGTACTAATTTATTAATCCAAAACCAAAAAACCAGTCCAAATAAAAAATCAATTTGATTTGGTTTGGTTATTCGGTTTAATCCGAATAGTGCACACCCCTAGAACGGAGGCTACGACAGTGAGAGTGCAAATGAGGTGTGTATGAGGATGATGAGGATAATATCAATTTGGAACGTCACTTATGAAATTTGTTTTTCTTACTTTTACTGAGAAAGTCATTTTCCTTATTCTTAAAGGAATTATCTTCCTTTTAGAAAAAATACTTTCCAATTTTTTTTTTTGACTAATCAAAAATTGAAAAACATTCATAAAAAAATAAATTTACTCAAATTTATGATAGTACATACATGGCCAAATTTGACTCTTTTCCCTCATATTAAATTTGGCAAGTTGGATATATTGTGTGGTAGGAAAACTAGAGGGGACAAATAGTGAGGCTACCAATGAGGTACACAAAAAGAAATATAGATGCATTAGACAACAAGACAAGGGCTTAAAACTAGTGATTATAATCCTCATTTTGTCTTTTCTCTAATCCTAAATGAACTTAACATTAAACCTAAATGAAAAAGACTAGTAACAATTTTGAACAGTTTCATCCATACATAATTGTGTGGACCAATTCCTTTTGTCCAATAATTAATTAATTTTCACATATGTTTTTGAAGTATGTTGTTTCTCTCCATCTTAAATCTTGAAAAAGAAGGGTCACCGATGAGAGTTGTGATAGAGCGGTTAATACTCATTTATTTTTTATCAAAAATTTTGAGTTCGAATCCTACTGAATATGAAATCGCTTTTGTTAGAGAGTAATATATGTTGAGTTCAAAATGAATCAGGGCGTCATGCAAAAACTTACCATTGCAAATCAAGACGGTGATAAATCAGATAACAAATAAAAACATATTATTAATAGGATTTGTTCAAGCAATCTACATATTGAAAACTAATATCAAAAAGCATAAACTTTATTGGGAGAATAATCTCTCCATAAAGTAAACTCTTAAATGTCATTGTGGATACCATTGTATTGTGGTATAAGAAGAAGAGTCTTCAATTTATACAGTTCCAAACCTTTTTCCGACAAAGCAATAACCCAAATATAGAAAAAAATTATACTTTTCTTTCGGCAAAAGTTAAAACATTTATGGAAATACTTTAACTTTCCTTCAAGAAAAAGAATAAAAATCAAAACAAAACCCTAAGAATTTACTCCCTAACGTGTGACTTCCTAGCATGAATCTAAATTTAGTGAAACATATCGAATACCGAGCATCGAACAAGAGCCAAAGAAAATAATCTTTAAAAGGGTCCATTATTGTCTTTAAAAATCTAAAATATATGAGGTTGCTAGTGCATGCTAGTGATACTCAATGGTTGGTAAATGCAACATTGTGGTCTTGTCCCCATTACTACTATTTATTGTACGTTAGTACTGAATCTTGTCCCATGTTATATTCATATGTTTACAATATCTTCCTAATTTTACATAAAAATGATGAAATATAATAATTTTTAAATTATTTAATAATTATTTATCGCATTTTATTTCGAGATTGATATCCTAATCCTACCGATCACACAACACATCTGAAGGTTTCAAATTGAATGCCTTAAAGCTTGTTATTCGTCTTCTACATAAAGTTGTTTGAATTAATGTTTGGGGTTCAAGGCTGATTTGTAGGTCTTCGGTTAGTCGTCTGAATTGATTCGATCATTGAGAACAATATTTTTATCAATCTCATTCTACTACTCTCTTAGTACGAATTTTTGTTAGTCTATTTCTTGATTTCGATCTAATAGTACAAATTGATACCACTATAGTGATTTTCGAATTATCTATTGCACAAAAAGTACATAATAAAATTCTCTACATTGGTAACGGTTATAGATCTGATTGACAGGTAATTAGGTATCAATTTAATCCTTGAAAAGTAACGAAAAAAAATGAAATTTAATACTTGAAAAAAAGGTAAATTATTCACTATGTTATAATGAAATATTTTACTTTTAAAAAGATTTACATATGTTGATTGAGCTTGTGAACAAAATATACAAATTTATATTCAAATACTAACTATTTACATATACAAAGGATAAATAGTTAAGAATTGTTTTAGATCATAAATTTTTAATTTTTTTTTTAAATATTGTGTCAAACCAAACAACGAGAGAATAAAAAAATGTCAATGTTTAACTATTTTGTTTCAAAATCTATATCATTGAATAAGAATTGATTAGGAGGTAATTAAGGCTATGGTCATAAGGGTCCTACTAGCATGTGCTCAAAATAATGTGTGTATAACATATGGTCAAATTATCAGTTAATCCAATCAAAACAATTAGTACTTGATTATATCATTGACACTATTATTACTTGATTAATCAATTAATAATAATAATAATAATAATAATAATAATTCCTCCTGTTTCATTTTGTTTGTACTATTTTTCTTTTTTTGTCCTTTTGAAAAAGAATATCTCTTTTCTTTTTTGGCAATTTTTTTAATCATTACTTTTTATATGACAAGTTTAAAATTACAAGATTAAAAGACATTTTGATTCAGTCTACATGTCTTTAATTTAAGATGACAAGGTTAAAAAAAAAAACGTTCCTAAACTACGCGCCAAGAGAAAACAAGACAATCAAATTAAAATAACAAGAGTAATTTTTTCGGCACATCTCCGCTCTTTTTCTCTTTCAAACGGGTGAATTGACATTTGATCGAGATGTGATTTTATCTCTTTCTTAGTTGTTCAAATAATTCGGGCTTGAAAATATTATAGATTTAATAACCGATTTGACAAAGTTTCTGAAAAGTCAAAAATATTTTTTTTCTTTTAAGTGTTTATTTAGAGAACTAAAGTGTTTGCTAAAACTTTTAGGAAAAAAATAAGTGATTTTGAGCGTAGTAAAAGTTTAAAAAAATACTAACCTTTTTCTAAAGAATGTTTGGAATTTTGGTCAAAACACATATTGTTATTCTACTATTGACAAAAATATTTTTCAAAATAATTAGTTAAATACAAATAACTACTCTTGAAAAATACTTTTTCAAAAAGCAATTGTTTGCCCGTCAATTAAGCAAAGGGCTAAGCTTGGCAGTGGGTGCAAGGCAATAAGGTCCTATTTGTAACCAAAATTTAAGCAAAAACTCTCCACATTCAATGGCATTAACTTGTCAATCAAAGCTAAGATATAAACAATACATTTTTTTTCTACTCGGTGTCTGAAGTTTGCATCTGCATTAAAGTCCCGATTAAATTTGTATCGCGCATTATAAGGACACATTCGGAGATGATACTCCTAAACTATTTCACAATTGATGCTTATGCCAAATTTTTATTATTATTTTTTCATTTCCCCCTTTTAAAAATAATTAGATGATTTTATTTCCAACAATAGGAAATTAATTTTATAAATAAGTAATTATATTACGTGTTTGATAAAAATATCAAAACTAATAATAAGAACCTTAAGTATTTGGTAAAAAAAAAAGATAAGTTGTTCTTTTGATAAATGACTAAATGCCCTAATATTTCATATAGAAAGATTTGTTTAAAAAAAAAAAGAGACAGGACAATGAATATGAATGGAGTGGAAATTAGAGATTTTGTATTGGAAAATGTTTTTTGCGAGTTAATATATATATATATATGAAGAATAAAATAGTAAAAAGAAAAACTATCAAACTAAAAGTGTTTATGACTATTTACTTGACCTATAATTAAACACCTTGAGTGTTCACCAAGATACTTAAATAGTTAGTATCTACCTTTGATAAATAAAAGTAGTTGATATCAAAGACAATTTTAGAATTTAAGTTTGTTAAATTCAATCTTCAATGTTATTGCTATTTAATATATTGTACTCTTAAATTTATCGACTCAAAATTTGATTTGCTGAAATTTGAGTACCTTTTTCTTAAAAAAGTCATGCATATGTATCTTTTTCATATTGAAAATAGTAAATTCAGGTGAAGTCATTAAGTATACGTCTACATTGAAATTTATGTCTTCAACTCAATTTAAAGTTTCACACTATTTTTACGTCGCTAGCATTTTGATAGTGAAAAAATTATTTATATTGATGATCCATTTTAATTTTACTTCAACTCAATTATATTAATTTGAAAAATGTTGTGGATATTCTCTTTTTTTCTCATGAATAGTAACATCAAGATTTAAAAATGGGTGCAAATATAACACCACTTGTCAAAATATTTAGTAACACATGAGATTGTACAAATTAAACTCAATCCCACAAAAGTTAATTAGAAGGGATTTCTTTATGATAAGTTAATAAAAAATAAATTCAACTATATTCACTTAATGGCCTAATCTAGCTGCTCCATAGTAATCTCCAATAGTGTCTCGCTGATTCAAAGGGCAGTCTGATGCAGTAAGCTCTAGTAGTGCGTAAGATTATTCCAAAGAATGGGTCGAACCACATTTAGATCTTTTGTATGCAGTTTTACCTCTTATTAGAACATTGACATTAGAGAACAAAAATCTTCTTCATCACAAGGGATAGTAAGTCCCATATCATGGTTGAATCCAAATTCTTCTTCTGCCCTTTGAAGCAAACTTTGAAATTCAGGATGTGTCAACCAAGAAATTGGAATTATGTGTCTACTTCTATTTTCACCAACATATACTACAAAGTGGCCTTTTGGTACATCATGAGGAAGTCCATTCTCATTTTTTCCAAAACTTGAACACCTTTTCAAGATTTGTTTGAGGGCTACACTTTGAGTTATGTGTTTGCTTGATTTCTTTAGAGCCATTTTTTTTTTTGGTTTTTTGATATGAGGAGATTTGGGGATTTTAGAAAGGATGGTCACTTGAGGTGTGGTTTGAATATTTGAATTTTTTGAGTTGTGTGGAATTGGAATTAGGGAAAGGAAAGTATTTATGGGGAGAGTGGAAAAAACAATAGCACATGGTGTGTTGTGAGAAGGGAAGAAATAAATACGTATTGAATGTTGATTTTTGGGATTAGTCTTGTATGCAAGGGCTTGAGTCTCTTTTGTTCTTTCATCCATTGGTAATATGCCCTACTTATGTCATCCCACCTAAAAACACTAGACTTGGACCACACTCACCTCCTTAGCTAGCAACCAAATATGTTGCCATGATTTTTTCTCACTTTTGTTTTTTGTTTACCCCTATTCGAGCTTCCATCTTTTTACTCTCTTGGTTGCTCGAACTCCTGACTAATGGTTGGAGGTGGATGATGCTTACCACATGAGAAACCCCTTCTTATCTTATTTGATTTCATATATGGTGTTTGAAATCCGCATTGAGGCAATAGATTAAATTTGCTTTTACTTTTTCTTTACCCCTCCCAACTTTTTTCTCCCTTGGTTACTCGAATTGATAACATTATGATTAGAGGTGGAGGGTGCTTATATGCCATCCAAGCAATCTCTCGATCATATCTTCTTTTGGTTTCACATCTTGTGTTCAGTATTAAATGTGGATTTGCCTCAAAAGGTTCACGTTTGGGGTTAAAACGCTCTTTAACAAAGACAATTGTATACCCAGCAGGGTTGAACTTAAGTTCTCTGATTAAGGATAACTGAAGACTTACTACTCCACCCAAAACCTTTGTTGGTTTTTTTAATCTTTAATAAAGACAATTCAATGTACATAAGCTCCTTTGCTATGTGTGAGGTCCAGAAAAAGAACGAAACACATTAAGTTTATTGTACATAATTTTACATAGCATTTTTAGGATTGTTATTTCCATGATGTAATAAATTCACGACCTTAACAAGATTGTAAACTTTATCGTTGCGTCAAAGACTTTATTTGGTAAAATAATTCATAACATAGATAGCAATGGGGATATGAAGAAAGTAAAACACCAGTCAAGCACCTAGCTAACACCCAAAATGCAGCCCTGGTGTTTCTTTTATCTTTAGCAAAAAGACAACTCGGTGTACTTTAGCTTTCGTGCCTACATAAGAGGGGCCAATTACAATAAATCTATTATAGACATTTCTTTACTTAGCATTTAAAAAAAAGTTATTTTCGCAATTTAAACCACTAAATCTTACTATAATAACTTTAAATGTTACGCCAAAACTTTTTTTTAATGATTTTTTAAAATATAGATAGGAATGTAGGTATGGAGAAGCATTTTACAGGCAACTAGGCAAATATATATGGGACACGACAGTCCATCTCTGACCTGCATAAATAATTATTTCTTCTCTATCAATTTATTTGACACTTTTAAAAATGATATTTTTCATATTTAGTAATAGTTTAATTTTAAAACTTTTATTTAGGTTTTAATAAAATGGTTTATAATCACAAAATTTTAGGGAAAAAAATATTTGTACCCCAAAAAGGATAATTATTTACAAGTGGTTACCCCCTTATTTTTATTATCCCATGTTTTTAACTACTAATGCACGTTTACTGCATAATACCATCAAAGTATATATATATATATATATATATATATATATTCTGATGGTATTAAAGAGGAAGAAGTAGTGCTTCAGTGAAAATACTACTCAGTTACTCTTCCATACCATTAGAGTATATATATACTCTGATGGCATCAAGGAGGAACATACAATGTTTCAGTGAAAATACTAATCAATTACTGTTTGATACTATCATAGTATATATATTTGAATAGAACAAGGGGGCAGTCGGGTAAATAGTTTGGGTTGTGGGTCCAATCAAGATAAATATATGGGGAAATTACGCGGATAAACAAGTATATACTAGTAAATTAACTAACATAATTATAGTTTGAATTAATTATCACTCGCAACTTAAATTTAGCTATAATTACGTGTGCCTCTGTCCTCTGTTCCTCTCTCCTCGCTTATACATATACAAATATAAATCATACACATACATATACAATTATATGACGGATATACAAATACAATTCACCTCTTTCCACTCTCTTCCCTCTCTTGCTCACCTCTCTCCCCCTTCTCCCAATCTCGCTCGCCTCTCTCATCCCTCTAACATGTAGCTATAAATCGTAATTAGCAAACTCTAGCTATTGAGCCTAATTAAAATTATTTTAGTGGCTATTTGCAAAAGTTATCCAATTTGGATAAATAATTTATCTAATGGATCTAATTTATGTAATTTTCTCAAAATTTTATATGTCTTATCTTTTTAGACCACAAATTTCAACAATCTTCTTATTTCTCTTAATAAATTTTATGCTCAATCAAATACATTATCATAAATTATGATAGAGGGAGTATATTTAAGTTAAAAGAGAAAATGTAAAATGATGAACAAAAAAATCTAACCAAAATATTTGAAAAAAATATAACAGAAAAAGTATTTTTTAAATGGCCACATTGAGACAATTTTCTTTTGAAAAGAAACATGGTGTGGGTCCAGTAATATGAGGAACAGAACCACTAAAAAAGTATCACTTTTGGTGATTTAAGTTCGTCAGATTTCATGATGTTGAATTGTTGATTATCTTTTGAGATGGAACCTTCTAAGTTTACTAAATTCCAATTTTGTTTTTTATCATACTGCCAAGTACCTCCAGGTAGTCTATCAGGATCGTAATGAAGTTATAAACTTTTTTTTTTTATGATTAAAAATATTGGATTTAATCTTTTTTTTTTTATATAAAATCACTTATGTTAGGAATCACAATATCCTTAATATGAAACTCTTCCGTATAAATTCAAATTTAATTAAATATCAATATAAATATTATCACCGAGTAAAACATAAAAAAGTAAAAAATGTCTACTACCCTAGTAGAAAATAATTAACCTAAAAAATCATCCAATCAATCGCTTAAACTGAGAATAGTCAATAGATATATAATATATATTTTTGTTTCAATTTTTTGTTTTTTTACTGTCATGATCCAAATCGTTGTGATTGACACCCACACTAATTATCCGGTGGGAGAACCACTACTACAACCAAACCCAAGCAACTAAACCAAAACTAAGACATTTAAGTTACGAAAGCAAGTTAAATACTAATGAAATAAATAGGGAGTTCCCATAAGCACCAACAAAAGTCTAACAAGAACTAAACAATGTGGAAGAAATAACCTAGAACCTGAAAGTCAATGTACCAAAACATCTAACAATGAACCAAGTCTAAACAAGAAGGGATGCAACCCCCAACAAATGAACTAATCAACTAACTAGAACTTAGTCTAAGTCCGGAAATGGTGGACATAGACGAAAGAGAACCCATGGCAGCCTAGAAGAATTGGCTCACCCTTGAATTTGAACGATCACTGATCTCCTAAGCGAGGTCTGTCAGTAGCCGCTTGAAGATGCTTTGTACTCATCAAAAATAAGAGAAAGTGCAGTATCAGTACACAACCACAATGTACTGGTAGGATCATGCGGCTATCTCACTAAATGCAACATAAGCAAGTCAAGACAACATTATAATCACATGCATATATATCAACATATACAATTTAATCAACATTTACGAACAACGAACATTTTATATCAAATCATTGGTCCTCTCATGGAACCCAAACCCAAACAGTTAGCATACCGAAATGTGGTATCCGATCCCATAATTATGCCGGAACGTGGCAATCGATCCCATAGTTATGTCGGAACGTGGCAACTGATCCCATAGTTATGTCGGAACGTGGCAACCGATCCATTCAACACCCCACAATCACAATCACAATTATATCATCAAGATCATACATTTAAGTCATGATTTCATGACAATCATCATTCATCTATCTCATTTACAACAAGTGTGATCAACATTACAACATTCATACATATACAAGTATCATAATGAAGCAACAACAAACATACATCACACAATCATAGAATCACAACCATCACCTACCTAAGAAACTTGATCCTTCCCTTTCCGGATTCATTCCGCTTGTTCTTGGTCTACAAACAATCAATATAATACGGGAATCAATAAACAATCACTAATTACCCGAATTACTAACAATTCTATGAACCCTAGATCAAACCCATGATCCAAATTACCCAAATTAGGGTTGTTCTCACCATAGAATCTATAACAAAATCCTCCCCATCAATATTCACCCATTCTATTACGTTCTACGAATTGAAAAACGGATTCGGGGAGTGAAAAGTTTACCTTTAGCCTCAAGAATAGTGAAAAATGAGTAGGAGTCGCCTGGGGTTCGTTCCTTAGCTCTAAAAATCGAAAAGTGCCAAATAAGGTCATTTAGAAGTTTATTTACAACTTTAAGTCGCGTCTGGCCCGCCACAACGGTTACCACCCCGCTACAACGGCATAATCCAGCGCCAAAGTGGCTGGAACGAAACAGAGAGCTATTTTGAGAATTCCAAAATCCCCATTTCACAACACACCTCTAACCAACGACGCTCAGAAAATACCCTTTACGCTAAGATCAATTTCGGAAGTTCTACTCACTCGAATTCAATTCCGTAAAGTCGTACGAATTCCTTAACGAGTTATCTAACCACTCATGTAATCAAAATCATAAATGATTCACCCAATTGGTACCAGAATTCCTACACCTCGATGACTCTGATTTCGTCCAAATTTGGACAAGGTTGGGAAAATTCAAATACTATGAAAACGTTTTCAGTCCCCAAATTTTCCCCCGTTGGCATTTCTATAACGACGGGAATATGTCGTTACAATAGATAAAAATTTACCCATCACTCGTCCTCGAGTGACAAAACTTAGAAAAATAGGCTAAGAAAGGAATGAAGTAGTACCTGAATCGACGAACAATTGGGGATACTTGTCTCGCATGTTCCTCTCGGTTTCCCAAATAGCTTCCTCAACTGGACGATACT